AATGCAGGATAAAGTGTTACAGCAGTTATATAAAGTTGATGTAAACAAAAACCCCTGGCCTGATGCTATTTACACCAGAGTACTTACTGTAGAAATATCCATAGCACTGTTTTTAATCTGTCATGTGTGCATTTCTTTTAAGAATCGTACTAGAGGCTTGAAGAAAAGCAGATTTGGAGCCTATTTTAAAAAAAGGGGCTCAGAATCTCAAACCATAACCTACAGATCTGTGAGGTTAACATCTGTAGTTGGTTGCTCAGTGCAGAGATCTTCCGGCTGCACAACAAAATGTGATGGGGCCCAGTGGACCCTTGGTATGTTGTCAAACACTTCCTGGGAGCATGCTGAAGTGGTTATGACTCTGTTCCTTTAAGAAGATCATAGGAAACTGGCAATTATAGTGATTCTGAAACTGTGGTTCACCACAGACCTTCCCTTGGCATGGTGGCACTCACTGTGATACAAGAAGTGCAACTGAGGAAGTATGTGGGATTATATATATATATAACAGAAACTAGAAGAATTGAGGTGGAAGGGAGGTCCAGTATTGGCTTTTTTAAATTGTATTTATTTTTACTTTTGAATGTGGCAGTTGGCTAGCAAGCTTTGTCCAGCCACCAAAAACTTAACCCTATCCCCCATTTCTTCCTTACGCCCATCTCTCCCAGAGTGACGTCACAAAAAAATACCGGCCTTTACATAAAAAATACTGGCACCGGCCAGACAGCCTCAAATACCGGCCAAGGGGCAACCTTAGTTTGCAGGAGAACATGGATCCTAAATCCATGATAATGACGTGATGATGTTTCGTTAAACATCCCATACTACCGCGGTGACACATTATTATTATTATTATTATTATTGCCATTTATATAGCGCCAACAGATTCCGTAGCGCGTAAACACATTTAGACATTTTTTTGAAATAAATTGTTTTCTTTGCTAAACAGCTTATTGCAGCGACATAAAAACGAACAGGGCAAAAATAAGCACAAAATAAATAAATAAATAAATAAAAAATTAGCTAAGCTTTAACTACGGCGGAATTGAAGAATTTGTAATAAAATATCCCCCAAAAAACTGCCAATGTCCAATTCCATACAGCTCATTGTTTAGTGAATAAAGCCCTTGACATTTTATGACATTTTTAGAACTTCCCCATTTTGTTTTTATTGTTTCTATATTGTTTATCCAACAGACACACTGAATGATGGAGTTAGAGTTCCCCTTACTGTAAACTTATCCCAGACATGGGCCACGCCCACCGGGGGGCGGGGCTAGCCCACTGTCACGGGATTCCACCGCTACTTCCGGGTCTTCGGACTTCCGGGTTGTTGTGAATGGGACCCGGCGAGGAGGACACTATCCATGAGGTACCGGGAGTAACGGGACGGGGGGGGGCAATAATAATAATAATAATAGTAATAATATAATAGTGTATGCAGGGCGGGGACACGTGATACACAGTGAGAGCATGGCGGTAATGGGGTAGAGTTATCCTGGGAGAGGTGATTATTGGGGGAATAACCTGTAATAACATCAGAAATAAAATGGGGGGGGGGAATGGGGTTACAGAGAGAGAGAAGGTGATGGGGAGGAAGACAGGATTGGTAAAAAGAAGAGGGTGGTTTTTGTTTGTTTGTTTGTTTTTTGAGAGCGAGAGGTAAAAGCCACGAAAGGTAAAACGAAGAGGATGGTTAAGGGAGAGAGGGATGGTTGGGAGAGAAAGAGAGAGAGAGAGAGAGACGGGGATGGTTGGGGGAGAGAGGGTTGATAAGGAGAGGAGGATGGTAGAGAGAGACGGGGATGGTTGGGGGAGAGCGAGAGACGGGGATGGTTGTGGGAGAGAGAGAGACGGGGATGGTTGTGGGAGAGAGAG